GTGCTATAGATACCATTTTCTTGAGATAACCTTTTGATAAAGAAATACATGCTATTCTCCTAGGATCAACGAGCCTGTGTTTTCTTCTGCCTAATAAATCATTTCCAAACAGAATCTACTTGGCAATATCTGATTTTTCCTTCTGCAGATATTATATAAATCTGTCACAAAGGGAGGACATGATAACAGCTATCAGATGCATAGCAGGTTTCCGCAAGGAGGAGCGCAACATTTATCTCCATGTACCCTAGATAAAGCGTAGACTTCAGCTGAAACAAGACGTATACAGCTTAAAGATTAGAGAGATGTTTCCAACCTAAATATTTTTAAGCTAGGTGAAGAGATCAAGAGCCCTTGATCCTATTCGAAGCTGAGAAATAAACTGGACAGGTTCTGCAGGTGCCTGGCAGGCGTATCTTCGATCATGCAGTGTTAAGGCTTTACTAAGCTTGTAATCCCACTCCATCTGACTCACCACTGCCCTTCTTTATGTGCCCAGTGTTTGCTCTTGACAGCTATGAGCTGATATGGTATTTAGCACACAGCGGAAGCGTGGGAAGCAGCTCTTACCCTCAGCACTGCAGCCTGTCTGCTATCAGTGCTGATTAAACACGCTGATCCAGATAATTCTGTTCTGAACTGATAAATTTCACTTGCCATTGAGTCAGATGCAAACTGGGTTTTTTAAGTAAATAAATATGAACAGAAGCTAAAATTAATGGTACGGGAGAGATAAAAAGCAATAATTACATCACAATCAAGAAATACAATTAATTTGCAGTCACTCATAGCCTTTGAGCAAGGAATGAATGTCTGAATGAGAGCTATGCCTCAGTCTAGTTCACTCACCTGTTGTGCAGATAAATGTAGGAACTGCTGGAGGAAAGTTTACAATATGTTTTTATAGGAAATGATATTACCTGATTAGCAGAATCCCTTCCAATCTTTAAATGTCTAGAAATTAGAATCATTTTTGCAGTCACCATGAAAAGTTTTTTTGTTTTAAAAAGGGGTCAGGTGTCAAGCTAAACTAAGCTCACAGAAGACTCTCATCACTTTCCTGCTGCATATATTGTATGAATAACAGCTTGGTTCAGTGGATAGGCCTTTAAAAGTGGGTACATTTACATTCAACTCAAGCTATCTACTATGTGCCATCAAGAAATTCCCATCCCTATTTCTACATCTTTGCTGCATTGCCTTTGTATTTTGGTAGAACACTACGCGGGCTTTTCTTCCGTTAAAGCACCATCTAAAAGTTAGGTATTAGATAGATTCCTCTGGACTAGCCTGGTCTAGAGAAGGTCTAGAAGCTTGTGCCATTATACCCCAAGGTCTCCAGCTTGTCTGCAGAGGACATGCACCCAGTAGTATTGACTAGGGCTTGCTTGAGTAGATACTGCTTTGTGTTTTGGTTTGGTTTCTTTGGCTCGTTGCCTCAGTCTTGACATGCTCAGCAGCAGGTCGCATGTCACCGTCTCCCGAGGGCTTTGACGTCCGTCGCTCTGCTCGCTCCCAAGGCTCTTTTCCCGCCTTTTCGTCGGCACTTCCCCGCGCAGCAGGACGTCGTGCATAGCTGTGCTCTATGGGTTTGACATCATCATACTTGGGATGTATAACACAAAGTCCCAAGCAGGCTGATGTCAGGCCCAAGCTGGCTGCCATCCTGTGTCGGTTTACTGTGTGCTCGCAGCGTGGGGGTCTCTGCTCATGGCTTTTTAACAACGGCTTGCTCCATGGCAAAAATAATGCAGTGAAAGGAAGCCCCTCTAACAATCAGCTCTTTTCACTGGGGAAAAAATACTGTGGGAGAATAATTTTTGTTTTCTCTCTTTTTGTCTCCTTTCTGCCCATCCCAACAGATGAACTTCATTCTCTTCATTCGCATTATTCGGATCCTAGTCCAGAAGTTGCATTCCCCAGATGTTGGGCACAACGAAACCAGCCAGTATTTGTAAGTCCTAGATTTTTCAACCATATTCTACGAATTTAGGAAGCCTATTTGGTTGGGCTGTTAGTTCGACCTAGGAGTATTTCATCTGTCTGTATCTGACAAGTCGTGTATTTTTAATTGATTAATGATGATCAGAAATCAGAAAATGGGACATCTGCTAAAATGGCTGGGCATGTTTTATGTCAGTTTGAACAGGCAGGCAAGAAGGATTTCTCCTGAGGCTAGCAACAAAGAAGTGAGTGCAACAGCAATGATCATGAAAAAGGGCTTTTCATTTGTAGATTCAATATTTATTGGATTCTGAAGCCAGGGAAACTCTGATTGGGAGTAAAGAGCAGCCCTCTATGGCAAATTTCCCTTATCCTAAAGATAACCCCAGAACTAGATCAGATGAATCCATCCAGAAAGGTACCCATTTCTCTCCACTATTGAGAAGGAGCACTGGCTTAGAAGCTTTGTTTAGCCAAAAATGTTTTTCTAGGGATATAAGAGTGACCTTAATGAGTCTATTTATAATAAATACCATGCAGAGATGAGCATGTTTCAGTGGCCAATGCCAGTCTCACTTGCAGCATTCTTAGTGTGCAGAAATGCTGTCTACCTCCATAGATTTATTCTGCCTTCAACGCAAATAAAATTAAAACTTCAGGCTTCAGCTCTTTTTTACCTCTCATCAGTCTTGCCCCAGTATTCCAAATAGTTTGGATGTTTACTGAAAGTATTCTTAGGAAAGAAGTAAAATGGAAATAGAATACTGTGTCTATCTGCTTACTGCTCACAGAATATCCTTAGTGTTTGGAGGGAGCTGTACATTTAGGTACCTTGAAGGACGTGGGCTCAGTTCGTGCTTCTGCAAAATGCAAAAAAAATAATGTCAGTTTGGTACTTAAACACTGACCAACCTCATCGCTGAGTTTCTCTCTAGTGATGGCAAATTTGCTCCTAGATACTCTCAAATTTATGATGGGAAGTTCCAGTAATTGACCTTAACTTCTCCCTGCAGCAGCAAAACCAATTACTCTTTTTCCGTCATCCCTAACAAGCCAACATTATTGGTCCCTGTGCTCTCTACCACATCACTTTATGCATTTAAAGTTGGGCATTGTATCTTCTTAGCCCGAAGATTGTGACAGCTTTGGCCAGGTACATAGATTAAATCAGCATATTGAAATATGTTCTCGTACTCAGTGCTATCAGAAGAATGTATCCCAGTCTTGAGCAATTGGCTCAATTAATGCATCTCCCTAGAAGTGTATTGTCACAGGAAGGGTTATGCCCTTATTACCTATGAATTCATGGTGAATTTGAGGCTTAGGGCTTGTTTTCGTTATATTAACCAGGGATGTGGAAGCTGCCAGGAAATCTCTTTTTACCTTGTAAACAAACCTAGCATGGCAGGGCAGTGACATGGACTTCCCTGCTCTGGCTTGCCAAGCAGGAGCCGTTTCTGAAGTACAAGTGATCCTGACATCTTCAGTTTCTCATCATCCTCCCTCTGGAAAGCATAGCACTAGGCGCCTATATTTAGGCAAATCAATATTCCTGTCCTCCCTTGCTGTTTAACCTTGGAGCCATTGCTCTTTCAATTTTCTTCAGATTCTGAGATGAAACATCCATTATACTCGCTGCTTCTTGTTCAAGTGCATTGTTAGGATTGATAGATGAGACATCTGAGATGAGATTCCACTCTCAGACTATGACACACGAATTTAAGGGTCTAAACGTGAGCTGAGCACCTAAACTGCGTTATTGTCACCTTAGATCTAGTGCTTGATTGAGGTGCCTGCACATTGGCCTCCAAAGCCATATGAGTTGCCTTAAGACATTTGAGATATTTGCCTGGACCTGGCATGAGGGTTTATGGGAACCTTGTAGCCTTATGTGGCATCAACTATCCTTCATCCAAGCTTCCCCAGGCTCCACTGGATGCACACACTGCATATCTAGATCTCACACTCACCTGCACAATGCATCACATTAAATGCCTCAGTCTGAAGTCTGGAGCCAAAGAAAGGAGCATGGTCAAAAATTTTAATATTTCAACACCTCACTGCAGAGGCATTTGGAGTCCAGGCCTTTTACAAATACCTTTGCTTGGGTACAGAAATTTTAGGGACCAGATTCCTATTACATATCACATCCTTAGTACCTGAAATGCTGCTTCAGGGCTTTAGACTGGATAACCCAAGAGGTATTACCAAAAATTGTTGCTAATAATCTGCGTGGGTTCCTTCTGCCAAATCTGTGATAAATATATTTTAATATAACAACATCAAGGATCTCTCATTTACACTTCTCATATTTTTCTCTTCTGTTTCTTTCTTTCTTACATTCAGTATTTTTTAAGAAATAATCCATTGACATGTTGACAGTATTGTTCAATTCCAAACAATTTCAGACTTGCTGCAGGCTGGAAGTTCAGGTGTGCTGATGACTCACTCATTAATGCTACAGATACTGAGCTGGGCTTTAATGTATTGGAAGCTATGAAAGCACTTCTCCCCAAACAGCTTCCAGGACATGACAGAGATGTGCACAAGAATGGGACAGAAATACTTCAGGCAAATAGGAGGAGAAAACACCCTGTTTTCTATAATAGCAATCTCGAGCAAAATTCATCTCATTCTATTCTGTACATGTCCATAGATCAATATTATCATCAGAGTTCTCTAGGCATTCTTGTTTTATTTGCTCAGGAGTATGGTTGGCTTAACGTTCCTTCTTATCCACTCCCAAGGAGAGCGGTAGGCTTAGTGCAGGCAAATAGCGGTGTATTTTCCCTAAATTACCTGTCACCATAAATCTGTCAAAGAGGTTAGATCTAAGAGATGCACCTTGGGCGAGAAGTGGAGTCTAACTATTTTTTTTTTTAGAATCCATGGCTTCCAGCAGACAAAATTAACCAACTTTGGCCAACCTTCCAGACAGTTCTGCCTCCTGCACAGTCAGGCTTGAGCCTGCTGGAAAGAAAAGTTGGGCATGCTTGAGGAAGATAGCTTTGGATAATGCTCCTCATTGTAGGATTTCAGGGACTCAGGCAATAGGGACCACGTCTTGAAGCCAGCATGAGATATGAGACATAACTCAATATTCTGGGGCAGCTCAGCTTTGGGAGCAAGAGACTGATTTGATGGGTTGTGCAAATTGGCGGATGAGGTTCCTAATGTTTGGCTTATACTCTTAGTTCATTGCTACAATTCAGCCAGGAAGGGAAAAGGCTATAAGGAGGAGTCAGGTTTTGGATGCGCTCACTGTGAGAGACGTGCCCATTGCTGAGAGGTGCAGTGTGAAAGGCAAATTCTTGGGAAGTTTCTCAGCTTCCTAAAGGCATTGGTTTTGCCTGGAATAGGTTACTGCCAGCAGCTTTCCAGCTATGCTGTCATTCAGGTTTTCCTTGGGGAACCACAACCACAAACCAAAGCCTTAATGATAGGCTATCTTTGGACCAGGCCCAGGGAAAGCTGGAAAGGTATGTTGGGACATGCAGTGATAAACAATGTCCACATAGAACTGGGACACGAGCCTTCCCAGCAGACTTATACAGATGGCAAATAAATGAAGGTGGCTTGGAAGGCCTGAGTCTGATGGGACTTCGGAGGTGTGGGTGTTTCAGATGGAAGAACAAGTACTTCTGATGTCCTAGCCTCTGGGAAAGGGATGCACATGAAGATGTGGGTGACCAAGGGAACCAGAACCCCTTGAGACATCCTTAAGTCTTTTATTTAACTTTATTTTTGTCAGTTTGACTTTAATAATGATTAGATTTAATAAATTATAATCTCTTCTGAATTAGACCTCTGATTACCCTGCCTGGTGCTGTTAAGCACTAATATTGTTCATCCCTCTCCTTTGGAGACATTCATTATGCAATAGCCTGTCATTATTCTGAGCTAAACATACCATTTCTCTCCCAGAAGCTGTAATTTTCAGAAATCCCAAGCAAACAAAGACAGCGCTAGATGATGATTTAGCTTGTAGAGATGAAAGAAGATCTCCAGTGGGAGGGGAAGAAGAGAGGAAAAGGGAAAGAAATACCACTATTGAAGGTTATGGGAGTAAAGATGTCACATTTTATGTCATCACCACATCTGAAATATGCAGTCATCCACAGTCTGGAGGCAAGGAGAGATGATAAAGGGCTAACCCTATGCCTCCGCTAAAGGCACACATATTTTTGAAAGGCTGTCAACAAAGAGAGAGCTAAGGCTGTGGATATCCTCCCAACACAGTCCTCTGTGTGACCTGCATAAACTGACTGTGCCCAGCTGAGAATCTGGCTCCACATTTCATCACACCACAGCCCAGACCTTTGGAGGGATCTTTGGCAGTGTAGGCTCAACCCTACTCCCAACCATCCCTAAGCCCTCCCAGCTTGGGTCTGTCTCACACTGGGCAGCTATTGAAGGGCCAGATGTTCCCAGGACCTCAGAGAGAGTGCTTGCATCTCCTAAAAGCAACCAAAGGCACTTGCTTTTATGGCTTATGTTTTTCTTCCCAACAGGAGACTGGCCAAGTCCACCTTGCTGCTGATCCCTCTCTTTGGTATTCACTACACCATGTTTGCGTTCTTCCCTGACAATTTCAAAGCAGAAGTTAAGCTTGTCTTTGAGCTTGTGGTTGGGTCATTCCAGGTAAGTCATAATTTGTGCCACCAGCTAGTCGCCAGGTCTGTTGGCACAGAGAAATGTAGGTGAATAAGTAAACATATGAGTTGAGGATTTCCTGGATATGCCCAATAGTGCTCTATTTTGGGGAAAAGCAATCCAGTGTGGAGATTCTCCACATTTTAGGCACCTAAAATAAAATATACCTCTATGAGCTGGTTCCCCTAGGGCTTTTCATACTTAAGAAAGGAAAACTGACATTTCAATTCAGTTGATCTGTCATTTACATTGCAAGATGAGATAAATCACCTTTGGGTAGAGTTCCAATTCTTCAGTCAGTTCCAATGTTGCATAGTTAACCTTGGCCCTCGTGTTGCATGTTTCATACTCCAGCAGCCATCCATTAGTCAGCTGTAGGCACTTTGTGTTCTCCAAGTTTGCAGACAGGATCTGTGCAGACAGGACTGTATATCCATATAGCGTTGGCTGTACACTTTGTTCAGTGGTAAATGAGTTAGTATCCATGTTTACATGACTGTCACTTTGCATCTGACATCACTCCTTTGAAAGATTAGTGGAAGATTAGTGGACCTACTCAAAAGCTGTTGTTTCAAGCGGACGTTTCTGAATTGCCTTTTGTTTACACGTGGGAAAGCTGAGTCCAGTATCCCACCCAGTTGCTTTTCATGCCCCTGTCTGAATGATGAAGTATCCCACTTAGAGCTGAGCAGACTCATACCCCTGCATCTGCTGTAATCAGATACAAACCTTAACCAAACTTCCCCTGCTCTTTCTATAGGAAAATGCAGTCAAGGAGCGTCTTAGGGGCATCTCAGGAGGTTCCTGGCCATGGGTTGCAGTCAGGTCTGGGTTGTGGTATCAGGGGATGTAACCCATGAGTTGCTAAGAGCCTGTTTTTTCCCCCAGGGATTTGTGGTGGCTGTCCTGTACTGTTTCCTCAATGGGGAGGTAAGAACAACAAGGCTGTTGGGTTCGTGTTTGCAACTAAGGCAGAGTGAACGCTCATGGAGGGAGGATTGGGGAGTGTCCCATTCCTGATGTTGCCACACCAAGGGGAAAGCTTCCAGGGGGAAGAGCTCACTCCAGATAAACAGCTCAACCATTTGCCTGGCAGTTTCCCACACATCCAGTAAACAAGTAGGACTTGCTTGCACACTTTAGTATTGGTACTGCTGCGTCCTTTCTTTATTCATGAGGTAGACAACATCAGCAGAATTCCCATAACCTTGCATAAACCCTCATCATAAGGGAGCACCTTTAGCAAGGCAGGATAAAACCAATCATGATTCCAGCGATGCTGTGTCTCAATGAAACCTCAACCTTTTAAAACCTAAAGAATTTTGCCTTTAACAGGGAGGCCCAGAATCAGGCCTCATTGCCGAGATGGAGGCTGGTTAGTGCAATGATACATTTTTCTACCATGCACAGCAGAAATTCAATAGAGACCCATTAAACCCATATCACAGAGGGACTGAGTAGGTGTGAGCAGCTAACAGCATTGAGCCACTGTCAGCTGGAGCTCACTCAGCTCAATAAACTGAGCACGGACTAGAAAAGAGCAGCTGTGATCTGCGTTTTTGTTCCAGCTTCCTGGAGAGGGGAAGAGTGTCCAGAATCACAATTTGCTTCCTTAGGGTTCTGATGATGCTTTCAGCCATGCTGAGGCCATGTGTACATCACACAGTGAAAGAGAGGGTATATAATATCCCACTTTCAGCAGATACCCAAACAGGCCTTGACACGACTCGTTAGCCACAGACCAGTGCCATGTGAATTTGCATCTGGCTCATGGGCATTTGTCTTGCCTTTCCCATTCAGTCACCCTGGCCACCTTAGCAGCCAAAGCCAAGCCGCAGCGATTTGACCCCTTGGTAAATGGCTCTCCCATTGCTGCTCATACAATCTAGGTAGAGAAACAGAGAACATTGCCCTCTGCTAACTTGCTTGTCTTTCCATGTCTTAGGTCCAAGCTGAGCTCAAGCGAAAGTGGCGAAGGTGGCATCTGGAACGGTTCCTGGGCTCGGATATGAAGTATCACCACCCTTCCTTGGGCAGCAACGGCACAAATTTCAGCACCCAGATATCCATGCTGACCAAGTGCTCACCAAAGACACGCCGGTGCTCTGGCTTCCAGGCTGAATTCTCTCTGGTGTGAAGGGGAGAGACTCTCTGAGCACAGAGCATCTGAGATAGAAACAGAGATAGGGAGAAGGATCCCCAGGAATCAGTGACATGATGACAAACCCTTGTGAAATGAAATGCTCAACATGAGCCAACAGAAGACACAAATCTGGAAAAGCCACTGGCGTCCAGAACAAGATCAGACAAGCCAGGAGGCAGAGAAATACTTTCCTTCTCCCTCTTTACAGACCTTTCACTCTAAGTTGATGCCCACAGGGGATGATAGCTATGAGTAAAGGTCCTACTCACTTGAGGAGAGCCTGGGAGGTCAGGATGTGTCATAAATAATGAAGTAAGGAGGTCAAAGGGAGCGTGAGTCCTTAGAGGCTTTACCAGAACGGGTGCCCCTGAAACAAATTGCACTTTTCTTTAAAAAATGAGCCAGTCAGTCAGTCAGAGAGGGAAGCAAGAAGTGGAAAAAAATGCCAAATGTATGAATGTGCCAAAAAAAATCTGTTGATAAGGGATAGTGATAAGGCACTGAAGATAGAGTTGGGACAACAGGGAGAAGGAACAGAAAAAAAGAAGCAGGAAGGGGAGAGACCAGCACATGGCCCCCATCCCTGCATTTTATATTTGTCAAGAAGAAGCTACAGGACGAGGAAGGCTCCTCAGAGGATACCCCAGCATTGGAGTGACTTCTGCTAATTGCCCGCCATCCATCCCATCCTCGTTAGCAAAAGATTTCCAAGCGCCTTGGGGGTTCCTCTTGAAAAGCAGCTTGCTGAGAAGGAACAGTGTGAATGCCCTTCTCTGCACTATGTTCGTGACATTGACATTTGTTTGTTTGGTTTCGATGACCAGGCTAAAAACAATTTGCATGTATAAAATCCAGGTACAGATGACCAAAAGCAGATCATGGCTGTGTTTTTCATTCAAAGTTCGCCTATAGATCGTGGTGTAATACTGTACAGGATCATTAGGGATCAGGGGTAAACAATCGGTAGGTAATTTGTTTGCACGTGGTTAATACACACTGCGAGGAAAGTGAGATATGGAACCCTGTAATCCTTAATTGAATCAGACCACCATAAGGACCCACTCTCCAGATGAAAAAATTAGCTTCGCAGCAGCAAGCAAAATTGCTTTCATCAAAACAAGGTTGGCTCAGCACATAACTGGCCCTCCAGGAGTCAGGAAGGAGTGAAGGAGCTATTAAATTGATTTCTGCTTCAGCTTTTTCAGGGAGCTTTCATCCTATGATGAAGGCACTGTTAGATCTTTAAAATGTGCATGTGCATCTTGCCTCTTTTCTAAAGGCCTATTAGTTTCCATATTGGGGCAATCCCTATTTGAAGCACTCGTGTAGATGCTGTTAAGACCAAGGGAATATTTCTTTTCCTTTTCCTTTCTTGGCGGAGGGGAGAAGGAGTGGGGTGAAGCGGATTTCTGCTCACAAGAGCCAAGCTGGCAGCTGGGGAGATCACCTGTAATGCTAAGAGATCCTGTGTTCGATGCAATACCCCCAGTCCCTAATCCAGGCAGAAGATAAACAACACTAGGATGCTCATGATTTTCTTCCTGTGTGTGTCCTGCCCAACCGGCTTGAATGGGGTTATACCAGTTTTTCACCAGAGTGTGAAATCACTGCCCATCCCAGGTATACGCTTAACCTTAGGGCTGTTGTCATCCTGCTATAACATACAGGAGCACTGTCATCGTGGTGGAAAGTTTAGATCATCAAAGCAATGTGTGGGAGGCTGCAGGGAAGGGAAGATAGACTCCTCTTTCAGGTTCAGAGGTTTCAACTTGTCCACCAGGGACCAAGATGACTTCTTTCAAAATGAAGGGTAGCTCTCTGAAAGGAAATATATTTAACTTGATGGGTTGGGACTTTTTGGGTCGTCTTTTTTTTTTCTTGGTTGGTTGGTTGTTTTAAGCCTGTGTTTCTCTGCCAACAAATGACACAGAGCCTGGGAGAGCTGCAAATCTGAGCATCCAGTTTCTTTCTCAGTTCTGGGGGCTGCTGTACCAAGCCATATCCTGCCCTGGGGTGACACTTTGCTACTGAGCTGCACATTGCCAAAGCATTTCCCCACGTGCTTGGACCAAGGACAGCACACAGAGGGCTGAAGGCAGGGAAGGGCATGAGATAGTCCAGCACAACTGCAGCGAAGGATAGACATGCACTCATTAGCTTTCAGTGAGCTGGCTCAGATGCTGTCCCAGGGTGGCCATGGCTACCCAGACTACAAGCACAGTCATGCAGGTAGTCATGCTCAGCAATATACTCCTGGAGTAACATTACTGACTGGTCCCCAGGCTGGCCACGCACAAACCATCTGTGCTATGGCTGTGTTACACTGCAACCATAACATCAGCAGTTAGAATCCAATGCTGACATGCTCTGGCATTTTCAAAATACACTTTTAGCAGCTCTCTCATTCCCACAATCCAGAGAAACTGAGAGGATGCTTAAAATTCCCTCGTGTTGATTGTATAGAAACCTTTATGCCCTGATGCCCCATGGAACAAGGTCCACATCTAAATTCCAGTGAGGTTCTCAAAGGCGAGGAGGACTGCTCTCTGTTTTCAGTGCAGGTGCTGCTCTGATGGATACTTTCAGAATGAGATTAGGACTCACACAGAAGGTAATGTGGAGAGGTCCCACTGATCCCACTAGCTCCTCTCACATGCATGTTTCAAAGCAGGGATTTGACCCAACTGTGCAATTTCCCAAGTGAATAGCTAGCTGCTAGGAAGCCCAAAAGAGGTAAGGGAAAGAGTTCTCAGCTTTAAAGTTGTCCCACCTAGTATAACAAGCTTCCTTTTACTGGTTCAGAGCTTGCGGGCAAAATCAGCATGGGAAAAGTGTGTGTCATCAGCCTGCAAAGTCATTCAACTTCATCTCTTGGGGTACCTATTGAAACGTAGCTAATGTGGAGGGCTGCAGGAAAGTGCTTGCTCATGCCTTCACTGAGGAACCTGAGATGTCAACTCAAATCTCCGGTCCCAGACAAGGCATGGAGGAATTTGAGCACAGAGTTGTTAGACATAAGTGAAAACCATCACCAACCATCTCCACTTGAAAGATGTGAGGGAATCCTTCCCATTTTAGGCAACCTTATTGCAAGAGAAGGTTCATGACTATGAAACTCAAGTAGTATGAGATACCTTGTGCATTTTAACTTCGTGGTTCATCAACATCCCTTTCACCTGCCTAGCTTTAATTCCATTGGCAGGAAGATTTGCTGCTTTGTATTTACAGCTTCTCTTTAGTTTCAGCCTTGTGCTAACCTACGTCAGCACCAGACACATGCCAAGGCCAGCATGAATAAGCTTGCCTTTAAGAGATGTGACAGGAAAAAAAAAGGTTTATTTGTCCATGCTACAGGGCCTTATGCAACCCCTGATGTGCACTGCAAGGCTATTCTGCATGGGATCCTGAAAGCAGGATGTGACCTAAAATGAGGGTCACCCTTCAAAACTACTAACTAAATTAATGTGCCAGGATTATGGCCCTCAGGCATCCTACTTGCAATTACTTCATCACCAAACATCCAGCTGTGTTGCCATTCTACTGTCAAGGGTGTTCTAGAGGTGAGATGAACACGCTGCATGTACCTGCTGTGACAGGCAGGGCAATATTTGTGATGCAGGCAGTGGAAAGCTGCCAGCCCAGCTGTGTTGGCCTCATATTTCAGGAGAACAGAGGAGTCGGGGATGAAATCAGGGCTTTTCACTCCAGGGTTGTGAGCAATCGAGTGACCAGAAGGTGTTTCACTGCCTGCCCTGGGATTTGGATCAGGCCCTTATTTGAGTAACTTATCTCAGGAATATGGCCTGTTAACTTGGTCTGCTTGTGAGCATGTTCTTTATCCAGCCCTGCAAAGAAAATAATGTTCAAAGACCTCGCTGCAGCTCCAGACTGCCACCTGAAATGCAGTGCCCCAAACCAATGCAGAATACATGATCCAGTGCAGAGAAATACTGCTCTTAAAGCACAAATCTGTCCACTTTCAATGCCAGTGTAAGACAGCGATGACTCCAGGGAACGCAACCAAGTTACTTTGCTGCAAAATAAGAAGCACTGTTGGATGTGTTAAGCTTTAGATATATTTGAGGATCATAAATTTAGACTCCAAAAGTCTTCACAAAAATAAGGCAAATTTTGATGCCATTTGCACCAGTCACTTCACTACAGTGTCTCGCCATTTACACCAGCTGGAAACTGGAATTTCACTTTTGGTAAAACTTCCTTCATCTTCAGCCTGGAACAGTTTGCTTATGCCAGCAAGAGCTCTAATTCACTCCTATTGATTAAACTCTTAAGTAATTATTATTAAGTAGGGGACAATCAAAGTATAAAAGTTAAACACTTTTCTCCATACTCAGAGCTATCTGGTTCAATGCCATCATTAGACTGCAGGTATTCCTACTCATCTGTGACCTACATGGCTTTTTGGGCCCCTCATAAGTAGTAAGAAATGAGAATATTCAGGGTTTTCAAAGGAGATATAAATAAATGGCAGGTTGTGGCAGAATTTAAGGTCATTAATCATATGGGTTTTCCACAAAGAGAATTATTCCTTATCAGCATTGTTAATGAAACTTTGGAAAGAAAAAGAGACACACACCCCAAAAAAGAAAAGAGACCGTATATCTGATATTTCTTTTTTTTGTGTTTTTTTTTTTTTTTTTTTGGTCCAGGTAACATTTATATTTTTTTACAAGAAGGGTATTATTGGAGAAATTTTTTTTTTAATATTAATTAGTCAATTTAATTCCATCTCCATATCCTGCCTTATTCCAGTTCATCTCAGAAGCAGCAAGGCAATGTGGTGGCTATGAGAGGGAAAAGATGAACCCCCAACCTTTGCTCCAATCTCAAGGAAATACTTTCAGAAAGAGATGTACCTGCTGACTAATAGAAGACAGCCTATTGGCTTTTTGAAAAACCCAAATGAAATTGCAAATAAAGCTCAGGGATGAGCTTGGCTTGGCGCCATTGTGGAGATTAAATTATTTCGGTGAGATGAGTTTACCTCCAGTCTCTTCTTCTACTACTATCACAGTGCGCCCTTGGCAGTTCCAATCCTCCACAGCCTCCAAGCAGAAGCTGTGCAGGAGAAACCCAAAGCAGTGGTGGAGTGAGAGATATATGTTTTTTTAAAAAAAAAAAAAAAAAAAAAGTGCTTCCAAATAAAGCTTTTTCAGACTAGAAAGGAGTCTGGCAAACTCGGAAGTGCCCAAACTTGCAGATGTGCACCTCGTGTTAATCTGTCTGCACAAGTTCATGTTACCACCTGCTTTGATTAATGGTCCGTAGAAAAGCATGGGATGGCAGAAGCAATGAGACTGAGAAACAATATTTCTTCTCTGGTAGTTGACTCTCATTCTAACATCAAAGCCTGTGTGAAACATC